CGACACAAAATTTATTTTTTTATTTTTTTTATTTTCTTTTTTTAGTTTATCATTTATTCGTTCGTATTTTTAACATTCTTGAGATTTGATCTTGGAACCTTGACGTCTTAAATGAACTTGATAATCAAGTGCACCACAACACATTATGCTATATTCAAAAAATAATCTTTATCTCTCTCAAAGCATGTATACTATCAGAAAAGCCGACACTATTTTAAGATTTTTTGACACTAAATTTAAATTGAGTTTAGCGTCGAAAAAGTCGATGCTATTTCGTTAGGCATAGTGTTGACCTTTTTGATACTAATAGCTGACGCTATATTTAAATAATAATGTTAGCTTTTCTGACACTAAACTCAATTTAAATTTAGTGTCAAAAAAATCGACACTACATCTTAAAACACGTATGCTTTTTTGACAATATTTACGTCAGCTATTAACTGACGCTTATTTTTCAAAACTATTTTAATATTTTCTTGTAGTGTGTAAAAATGTTGATAATTTATTTTTGTAACATATTATCAAATGTTGTGCATAGTGCATATTACTAAAGGTTTTTAATAACATTTTTACACAATCAGGTAACATTTTTTTAAATGTTATCAAAGTGGTATTTTGTAACATAATGATGTTGTTAAGTTTTTGTTAATTTTATAAAATGATAATTAGTTTTAATTTATATATTGTTATCAATTATTATATTTTTATGTCTCCTGAACTCCTTGAAGTTCTTTAAAAGAAGGTTAAAGATATTTTTAATTAGTCACCACTAATTATATATCAAATATTAAAGTTGATTTATCTTAAGTAAAACTATATAATTATATAGACTCTTTATAAGTCATTCATTTATTTGATATGAGACTTTAATTATGGATAACAATTAGAGATGAAAGAAATATACTTTTTTTATTCGACGTAGAACTTTGATTTTATAAGCAATTAAAAAGAATAATGTTGAGATAAAAAAATATTACTTATTTGTAGTAACATTGTTTTGTAAAATAATTTATTCGATATGAAATTTTAATTTTAAAAAGAACTGAAAAGAATAATATTAAAATAAAATACTACTTTATTTATAGTAACATTTTTCAAAAAAAAATGTTACAAAACTATCTATTTATTTAATATATAATAATATTTTAATAAATGTAAGAAAGAAAATGTTGTTAAAGAATTAAAACATAGTAATGTGTATAGGACACCGTATGGCTCCTTAGTTCAACTCCACATGTCCTTCTCATCCACTCTTAAAAGTTGCACAAGCCCACACCACCTCCTTCACTACACTTCGCATTCAAACAAAGTCTTCCTTCACTTTCATCCTCAAAGCTATGAGTTATATACTAGTCTAGTATAACAATTTAAAGAAATAACTATGTTTTTTAAAAATATTATTCAAGTACGAGACTTTAAAGAAACAAATTACTCACACCAGCAACTGTGAAAATTAGGTGTTTTGGTAAGAAAAAGAAATGCCATCTTTAACTTGAATTGAAAGATGTGATTATAATGGTAGGGTCTAGTTACAGAGTAGAGGCCAACACTATTTCATCTTCCACTGGAGGGTCGCATGCTTTTTCAGGCATTCCCTCGTTAATGGCAACAACTAAGAATTTTCTTCACTTTCATTGCACTTCAACAATAATGGAGTTTATGTCAGTTTTATTGCATCATTCAATCAAGAAAAAGTGAGACTTCTTTCTAACTAGTCTTTTCTTAACTCTTCTCCTGTTCCCTTTTATTTTACTTTTTAAAATAGTTTTCTTTTTTCATTTTCTAAACCCTCGGAATGATCATTGAATCTTTTAGAGACATTACGAGGATAAAGAAAAGATTCTTCTTCCAATGGAATAGTAAAATGGTGGTTTTTAAAACTGAATTAGTTATTAAATCAATGAAGATAATGATTCGAGGTATCACATTTCGAAGTTGAACCGATATTAATAAAATAATAAAATATAATATATAAAATGATATTTAAAATGTAATATTATAATTTTATAATAAAAATAAAAAGAAATATATATTAATACTTGAATTTAAATTTTATCAATCTATTAATAAAAACAAGTTCAGATTCAAAATAAAAAATAGCAAATACCATCAATTAATTATTTATAATTAAAAAATGATGTTATATTAAAAATTTTCATTGAGTTATTTTATGAATCAATTTTTATATATTAAACATAAATAACTATATTGCATAAGGGCATTTTTAAGAGTTATTTTTTGACAAATGCATTTTGAGGAATTGTTTTACAATTTTTTTTATCTAATTCAAAATTTTATTTATCATATTTATTTGTGAATTATGTTTTAATAATTTTAAAATAAGTTATCAATAATTAAAATAATATTTGTTTTGGTAAATATGGAAAAGCTTACTAAAATTAATATATATTTTTATCTTAAATATAAAATATAATTTATATATATATACATACTAATTTTAAATATAATTCATATATTCAAATATATTATTTATTTATATATAATTTATTATAAATCTTGGTTATATATAATAATATTTGACTTGTAAAATGCACATGCTAAAATATTAGGTAATTTTATGATTTTTAAATCATATTATAATATTAGGTTTTGCCAAATTTTATTAGTTTTTATTAGTGGAGTATCTTGATAATTAATGGAATATATTCGTATATTAATCACAAGATAGTTTTCCATTTCACTATAGGTTTCTCTCAAGGTAATTTTGGTGATTTATGTAGATCAAACACTAGACTGATTCATTGATTTTTCATTCAGATCAACTGATATATATAGCCCGTGTTTGGATTGACGTTTACGAAACTTAACGCGCGTACAAAACGTGAAAATAAGAAACTATTGTTTCCGCGTTAAATTTGTCAAAACGTGAATTACTGACGCGAATTCAAACACGCGGATAGTGTGTGGAGAAACATATTTTGGACGTAAAATAATCACGTCAATACCAACGTTATGCAGAGTAGCTTCTCCATCTTTCTTTCATTTATACGCGAAAATGTGTTCATACGTAGATCGCTGACGTAATTCCAAACACGTTTTCAAAACTATATATGGTCCAGTGTAAGTCCTAGATGTTAATGTATTTTGACTGAATTTGTTTATATTAATATTTTACTTTTATTTGATAACAATATGATACATTTCAATTTATTGTGTTGTTTCATTCAAACATGATAAAGGCCCTAGATTAATAAGTTAAGTGCGAGAAGAACATCCAATACATGACTACGTTGACTTGTGCATTTGTTGATAAGAGACAATAACGCATTTTGACGACTTAGTCTAAATTGATTATCATATCTCATAGATTATGGACACCAAAACACCAAATGAATTGTGTGTATACATGAGTGCGAGTAGAACAATAGTCTTTGATGTCTTTACAATTAACACTATATTAGGTGATACACTTCAAGTACATAAACATTTACAATTCTGCTCACTGCTTGCATGTATATAAATACACAGAGGTAACAGTCAAATATAGAATCAACCAAGAATATTGTTTCGTGAATATTCATGCATGAGGTTTTGTGCAAAGAATAAAGAATAAAACGGTCTATGTTAATTTTTCAAAAATTTAATGCCAATAAGCATTCTGTAATGAATAAAATGAACTGAGGCAATCAAATATTATCAAAATTAATTCCTGCAGTTAAAATAATTTTTAAACATTTAAATTAATCAACTTAAAAGATATTTAATGAGTATTAGTTTAGTGGTTTTTATGTTTATTGAAATATAGTATTCTCATCCTTTTCCACTTTACAACCAGCTGGTGAAAGTTGAGGTTCCAGCTGGTAAGCTCTGAGTTACAGTGAGAAGCAGTGAATCATATCTCTCGTTCTGTTCTGTGTCGGTTTCAGCGAGTCAAACAACTCATAGGTCAACGATTTCTTACCTTATTAATTATAATGGAGGAGTCTCCCATGATTTCAGAATTCCTCATCCAAAATATATTCTCTTCTATTTTACTTCCACCCAAATTTTCTTCATTTTTTATTCTATTTTCTAATATGTTTTCTGTTAATATCATTTTTATCCATTTTCTATTTTTTATTTTATTATATTATTTTTATTCTTGTTACTTTTGTGTTTTCATCTTAGTTCACCCTAATACGAGTAGAAGATTATGATCACCCTTTGGTGACATTGGAGACTCCTTTTGTGTGGACCCACTCCCAAAACTGTCCTTTTCATTTGCTTATTATTGCCAGCTATTCGTTGTGTAGTGCCTTCCTTTTTCCGTAACCATATGTTTAATTCCCATATTATCCTCGCCCCAAAAAAATCTCACAGCAAATAAACAAGATTTTTGTTAGGGTTCCTGTGCTACGTTTTATTATCAAAGTAATTTCTTTCTTTAAAATGTTAGTTGCTTATTTTTTTTCCCACCATTAATGCTAATAATTACATACATGCCTTTTTCTATTTTGGGTTGCATTACATTAGTATGTGCATTTTTACATGTATTCTCTTCAGGAAACTTTTAAATGCCAATAGTTATTGCTTTTCTTATTTTCTGCAAATTCTTTTCACTAAAAGTCTGTTCAAAATGTATTTTGATTATGTAGCTTTGAGCAAGACTAAAGGGTTATTTTAGTTGTGAAAATAACATTTTAACATACATTAACATTTGTGCAAATAATAATTAACACTTGTACTAGCTCAAGTGTGGTAAGAGGCTAACAAGTTTTGAGAAATGTCACGTTGCATCACATTAGATTAAATAACAATTTTACCCTGTAAAAACACGCAACACAATGTAGTTATAGGAATAGTTGACATTAATTTTGAAACCATTCTTTGGTACAGGAACTTGAGAATATTGTCAATTAAAGTATCCATTGGAGTTGGAGAGGATGGAGGGTGAAAGTGTCATAAGAGAAAATGTCCCTGGAAACATTAGACTCTGCCAGGTGAGGTGCCTTTGCAGGTCGCTTTCTCTTTTTACTGTCTTCACTAAGCGGTTTATCAGACTACAAAACAGTTTCGATTAACAAAACAAAACAAATGCTCTCTTTGGTTTACACTCTCTTCTTCCTCCCTTAACTAATAACTATTAGTATTACTTACTACCACCTTTTCCTCTCTCAACTTTCATTCCTGGACTCTCATTCTTCCCATTCTTTTCTTTTGTCTTCTTTCATCAAATTGTTAGAGAAAAAAAGCTGGAGCATCAAAATCTCACCACTTTGCTTTCTGGTTTCTGCTCAATCTTTCCTTTTTACCACCTGAATTTGTACTCCCCTGTACTCTTTAACTTCAAACTCAGATCAAGTTGCTTCCTTTCTTTGGTTCAAGCTCGCTCTTTTGGTTCATTTCCATTGACCCTTTTGCTCAAAATCCTCGTCACTTAAATATTACCAACCGATGATGACTCTGGTGCGAAAATCCCATTGGGGGTTGCTTCTCTATCTTCTCTTTCTGCTCCACCTTCACTGCAGCACCTGCTACCCCACAGAACCCATGAACTGTACGGACACAAGCCGCGTTTGCACTTCTTTCATGGCCTTCAAGCCCGAGGCGAACCACTCACTGGCTCTGATTCAGAGCATGTTTGATGTGTTGCCTGGTGACATCACAGTGGAAGGCAACGGGTGGGATTACCTGTTCGTAAGGAAGAACTGTTCTTGTGCTGCTGGTATCAAGAAGTACGTGTCCAACACCACATTCACTGTGAAATCCAATGAAGGGTTGGTGTATGATATGGTGATGGATGCCTATGACGGCCTTGCTTTTCTCCCCAACACCACCAGGAAGGCCAGGAATGGTGCTGTTGTGTCACTGAGGTTGTTCTGTGGCTGCTCCAGTGGACTGTGGAACTATTTGGTCAGTTATGTGATGAGAGACGGGGATAGTGTTGAGTCCTTGGCAAGTAGGTTTGGGGTTAGTATGGGTAGCATTGAGACTGTGAATGGCATTGGTAGTCCTGATAATGTCACTGTTGGCTCACTCTATTATATACCATTGGATTCAGGTTAGTCCTTCCCTCCAATTTTCTTCAAACTTTCTCGTGTGTATGTTCATATATGTTTCTGAGGGTTGTTTTGGTTAGTTGGTTGGTTCTATTCAGTTTTGGCTGAGGATGCTTTAGGCTTTAGTTTTATAATGCTTTAGGCAGCTGCTTGTTCATTTTGGAAAATCTGGATGGGGTGTGAGACTTGGGGATGTTGAGGGTTCTGGAATTTTGATTTGGGAAAAAGTGATTGTGTGTAGTGGTTTTTTAGCATTGTAATTTTAAGATGTTCTTTTGTGACTTAAGCAAAGAAGATATGCTTCATCATGATAAAAGGGGATTTCTAGATAGGTTATAAACTTATAATGAAAAGTGAAATGTGTGAAGATGATGTGTACATGTAACGAGCTGATAATGAAGTGAAAGTGATATAGTTGAGGTAGTTGGGAATTGGGGAAGTTCTTGGTTTGTCATGTGTGGTAGCATTTAATGTGTCAGAGAAATTCATGCATTAAAGGGAAATACCTACTATCAATTGCTAAAAATTTGAAACAGTAACAGAGTATAGTCCATTTATCATGCATCGATCACTCAGACAAGGAACTAGATTGGAGGGATTGCTGACTGCAAATAAATTTCTGAACCGCAGATGTTTCTTTGCATCTTGTCTTAAGCCTGAGGACTGTTGCATTCTGTTAATGAGTTGAATTTTAATATTAAGCCAACTTGTAAAGTGTATGTAGTGTTATCTTCGCAGGATATTGTTTTCAAACAGTGTTTATGTTAGTCTCTCCATGCGGTCTGAAAGTTGAAGAATATCCTATTTTCTATGTTGATGTCAATCTGTCTTGAGACCTGGAGCTTAAATTGAGGAACATTATCTATGGGGTATATTTTAGTTTCTTCATATTTGGGACAAATATGATCAGTTTCTTTGAGGGAGGTGGATTTGTTACATATTCTGCAATGCAGTTTATTTGGGAGAATATGCATCGGATGATGTTTACTTTTGTTGAATTGACCTAGCTGTCACTGCTCATTTAAATATCTGTGCTTATATCCACTGCTTCATTGTTTTACATGCAACAGATTTGTCTATATTCCCTGATCATTATTTAGTGATGAACCTATATTCCGATTATATTTGCAAAATGCAATAATATTAGGCACCCTCAAATCCTGACTGCAATTTGAATTTTTTACTGGTTTGCAGTTCCTGGTGATCCTTATCCACTGAATAATGCAGCTCCACCAGCTCCTGTTCCTGCCCCATCCTTTGATAATTTTTCAGGTATTGATCAACATATGCTGTAAAAAGGAAAATAGCTTTTCCTTTTCCTTTAGCTTGTATTTTGTCTGTCATTTGTCTATAATAGGAGAAATTATTAGTTCTAGGACCACCAAGTGCCTATGTTCCAGCCAATCTGTATTTGATATTTTCAGTTTACAAGAAAAATTTAATAAGACTTGATTACAAGTCATATAGATATTAATGGCCATGTGGTCCAGGACTATCTAATAATTTCTCCTATTATAGAGGTTAAATTCTGTTTTCAGTATTAATAACCAAAAAACAAGTTTTCAAGCCTACAGTCTGTTATCTTTGCTTTTAGGTTAAGCTGATTCTTATTGTTTATTTTGAAACATCAAAATTGCATAGGTAAAATTATCATGTTTCTAATTCACTTGTATCAAATAAAATAAATTTATTTTTGTAGCTTCTTTGTCTAAATAATAAAAGGTTTTAAAATGAAGTGAAGATAAGAGGTTCATGTAAACTTAGGTAGATCTCTATGAAGGTACTGATAAAAAAAATGTTTCTTTGAAGGAGACATTTTGATTTTGCACATATAATGTATAAACACGTGGACAGGTATATGGGGCTTTATTTGTGACAGATGATATATAAGTAGTCTTGGGGTTTAGCTCAAGTGGTGGTAGAGTGGTTTGGGGATGCCACATGTTCAATGATAATAAAAAGGAGTTATAAATATATTCTCATTTAACTGATTAATTTTATTGAGCAGCATTTTGAAAAATGTTACTTTGAGTTACTGGTCTGTGTCTATTATTTAATGAATTGCAATTCAACACGTTATTTGTATATCTTCATCTTCACCCATTTGTATTTATTTTTTGGTTTTATTTTTTCCCTCTATTATGCCTAGTCTCTCTCTCTCTCTTTTTTAATCATTTTGAGCTTTTCTTCTGATAACACTCAACCTAGGAAAAGAATTTCCTTGTTATTGGTGTTATAATAGAATGTGCACTTTATTTATTTAATTTTTTTGGTTACAGCTGATCAAGTCAATCATAAGGCTCATGTACCCTACGGATGGATCATTGGGGGTTTAGGAGTTGGCCTCTTTCTAATAATATTAACTGTGGTTCTCTGCATTTGTCTGAGATCATCAAATTGTTTTGCTGATGCCAGAACTGATGAGAAAAATGCTGAGAGCAAGATCTCTCATAAATTCCATATTCTTCGGAACCCAAGTTTTTTTTGTGGTTCTGGAAGGTACATATGTGGCAAACATGTTGACCAGAAGCAAACGGATGGTGAATCCAGCAATCACACGATTACCATTCCCAAAGCTTCAAGTAACTAACCTACTTACTGGATTCTCAAGTTTTATATCGTACCTATGATTACAGTGTGAAGTAATCATGTTTTGCATGTTTTATTCTATCATCTCAAGCACACTGCTAAAAATATTTTGTGGTCTTGTCTGTTTAGAGATTCCTTTTCAATTTTGATTAAGCCGGAATAGGGGGAAAGGTTTTTGCCTGTTGCCATGCTGGGTTTTATATCAGATTATGTTGAGTACCAATAGATACTGCACTGGATGATTGGTGGTCATATGGTTCAGTCTCTGATATAGAAGAGCATGATGGAACATATGGTCGTGCACTTTCTAAAAATTAAAACATGAATATCAGAAAGCTTTACTCACATAGGAGGGTATTGTATAACTTGCATTCATTTTCATTCTGGCTGCAAGTTGATTGTACTTAAATTATGTTGGGATTTTATGATGTTATGATGCAAAGTCCAGGGTAAGATGCATTATTACCAACTTATAAATATCCCTTGGTTATAAATTTTGAATATTATTCTATATATTCATGAATGTGTATTATCAGTATGAAATCCTGTATACATGCTATTCTTTGAACTTGGATATATAACTGTTAGTTTTATAATACATCTGTGTAACAACATTAATGATTTATCCTTTAAAATTTTGAATATATGCATAATATTCTATTCATATTATGGTTGCAGCTCTAGGGCCTGACGTATTTGACATGGATAAGCCTGTAGTTTTTAAATACGAAGATATTTTTTCCTCAACTGATGGTTTCTCTGATTCAAATCTACTTGGGCATGGAACATATGGTTCTGTTTATTATAGCCTCCTTCTCGACCAGGTTTTGGCTGTATACTTTAAGTCTTATAATATAAAAGTGAGTATTTTTTTTCTCTGACCTTTTTTTATTAAATCCTTGTAGGAAGTTGCTATTAAAAGAATGACAGCTACTAAAACAAAAGAATTTATGTCAGAGATGAAAGTTTTGTGCAAGGTTCATCATGCTAATCTGGTAATTTCCTTTTTAATCAAAATAAATTATGCTTTGATTTTGTAGCCAATTGCTTGGTCCATTTCCATAGACTGAGTTGTACTTTTGATTGATGTTGTCAAGGTAGAGTTGATTGGCTATGCAGCTAGTCATGAGGAGCTTTTCCTAGTTTATGAATATGCTCAGAAGGGTTCACTTAGAAGCCATTTGCATGATCCACAAAATAAGGGTAAGATTATGCATGTATGCTTTGGTCTGTGGAATATTAATCACCACTGTTTGGGTGGACCTGGTGCTTTTAAATTTATATTTAGATTTTCATTTTTGAAAATTTAAGGCAAAAATACATTTTTCGTCCCTTATATTATTTATTAGTATCAATTTAGTCACACTTTAATTAATTGAATCAATTTAGTCCCACATCTTTAAAATGTATCTCAATGTTTGATTTTCCGTTTCTTCCGTTTAAATACTTAAATGGATTTGACACGTATCATGCCACGTTTCATGTTGTCATGCCACGTGTCATTCATCATATCATGTGTCATGCCACGTGTCATTCATCATGCCATGTGTCATGCCACGTGTCGTGATGTCCATCTGTGTGGCATGACAACATACATGTGGCATGACACGTGTCATATTTGTTAAGTATTTAAATGAAAGAGACAGAAAATCAAACATTAAGATACATTTTAAAGATGTGGGACTAAATTGATTCAATTAATTAAAGTGGGACTAAATTGACACTAATAAATAATATAAGGGACGAAAAATATATTTTTGCCAAAATTTAATGCAATGCTTTATTCAGTGCAATTTTTTGGAAATTAACTGCTTACAGCATTTTGCCTGGTTATTGTGATGAGATATACCTTGTGAGATAAGGCTATTGTTGTATTGTGATGAGATGTGCGACTGTGCAATAAGAAAAATAATACCAGCATTTATTTTGAGAGCACTCTTTTGAAGCCTAAATTGTTTGAGACTGGATTTGTCCTATTTTCCTCTTGTTCATTGTGTCCCTGACTGTGATTTGATATTATGTTGCAATAATTGAGAAAGTTGATGGTGAAAGATTGGCATTTGTGCCTAACCGCCTCCTTATGACCAGTTTTTCAACTCAAGGAATGCCTTTGTTTTTTTTAAATTTGCTGTCTGTATCCAATGTTTCCACTATAGAGAGATCATTTTCATGGTTCATCCAACTCAGTCTGCAGACTACCATTTTTTACTATGAGCAATTGATTATTTTCAATGGTATAAAATATGTTTTTAGGCCTCTAAAATTTTTGAAATTTGGTGCTAGTCCCTCTAATTTAAAAATGTATTACTTTTGGTCCTTAAAAGTGTTTTAGATGGATTCACCAAAAAAAAGTGTTTTAGATAGCGTTAAAAGCAGTTATAGAGAACTATCTAAATCACTTTAAAGATCAAAAGTGGTGTTTTTCCAAATTAGAGGATCAAAATATGACATTTTTCGAGGGGCTAAACCAAATTTGAGAAATTTTGAGAAACCAAAATTATATTTTACTCTTTTCAATATCTTTTGTTTGGGGGATGTTGTAGCCTGTCAAGCAGAGTCAGATTCAAGTTGATAGTTGATGTGGCAGCTAGCGGCTATTTCTCTATGATGCAATTTCTTATGTGTTGAAATACTTGAATAAAAGTCCTAGAGGAGACGGCACTAAGAAAATTTGCATGATATTCAAAGATGAGGCTTGAATTGGTGTGAGGACTGCCTAATTTCCATGTTTTATTGTATGAACAAGTTTAAGCTGTGCATTTATAGTTTATGTCTATTTTGTGTCTTGCTTATAGGTCATTCCCCACTTTCTTGGATCATGAGGGTCCAGATTGCGCTCGATACTGCTAGGGGCCTTGAATACATACATGAGCACACAAAAACTCATTATGTCCACCGAGATATCAAGACAAGTAACATTTTACTTGATGCTTCCTTTAGAGCAAAGGTAATAACAAATTTATACGCAACTACACCTTTTTGAAGTTTGTACATTTGTTGTTTGTCATTGATCTTAGATCTCTTTCTGCTTCTCTAGATTTCAGATTTTGGATTAGCAAAACTTGTTGGGAAAGCAAATGAGGGAGAAATTTCAACAACCAAAGTTGTTGGTACATATGGATATCTTGCTCCAGAGTAAGTAATGTCCGCTAACAGTTTTTTTTTTCTTTTTGTAAACATTATTCCTCCTGTATAAGATAATATTTTAATTTTTTATTTCTTATATTTTTGCAGATATTTGAGTGACGGTCTTGCAACCACTAAGAGTGATGTCTATGCATTTGGTGTTGTCCTTTTTGAGATTATATCAGGAAGGGAGGCCATCATTCAATCAGAAGGCGCAATGACAAAAAATCCTGAAAGACGTTCACTGGCATCCATAGTAAGTTGTGCTTATAAGACATTGTTTTGGATGGCAGTTATACAAGCATATAGTTCTCCCTTGATTTACAGGAAAGATTGTAAGGGCTTGAGTAACTTGAGCAGTCACTTGTGATGATTGTCTCATTATAACTGCACTAATATTCAATGTTCAGAATGTTAGTAGGACTGGAAACAACTAAATTGTATTCCCCAGTACCCTGCCTCAAAAAATAAATAATAGAAGTCCTGAGATATCTTTTAAGTAAAGATAATTTTTTCACACAATAATATGCTTTTCTTGGTAACAATTGTTTTTTCTGGGTATTGCCTTGATGTTTGTCCAATTGCAGATGCTGTCAGTTCTTAGGAACTCACCTGATTCCATGAGCATGTCAAGTTTGAGAGATTATATCGATCCAAGTATGATGGATCTGTATCCCCATGATTGTGTATTTAAGGCAAGTTAGTTTCTCCATTTTCTCATATTTTTTATGCCATGTGGTTTTGGGGATCTTGAATACGTACTAACCTGAAAAATTGAAGATTGTTCAACTCAAAACATAATCAAAGTAAAATTATTTTTACATACCTGACACATCCATGCAACTGTGTGGTTTCTCATATTACGATATCATTATTTTGAAGAAATAACTGACTCATATTTTATAAAGGGATAACAACTTGCATGAGGTTTTACTATTGTAACTTATTCTTCATTTGATGTTTTGGAACATTAGATGGCGATGCTGGCAAAGCAATGTGTGGATGAGGACCCCATCGTACGACCTGATATGAGACAAGTTGTGATTTCCCTCTCACAGATTCTCCTATCTTCTGTTGAGTGGGAAGCAACTCTAGCTGGGAATAGCCAGGTTTTCAGTGGCCTTGTTCAGGGAAGATAGTTAAACAGCAGGATTCTTTTTTTCTGCATCCTGTTCTATACCTTTTTGGTTGGTTGATAGTGATTGATCCATAGGAGCTGGGACATGGTGGGTCAGTGTCTATTTTTGGCCATTTATTTTTCTGAATATCTTGTGAGCTATACCTTGATTTTGTTTACCTGCATTCTAATATATGTAGAAAATTTTTGATGTAATTTAGTGTGTTGTGATGGAGCTAAGGAAGGATTATATTGCTCTGTGATTTGTATTGATATAAGTTGTAATTCGACAATCGACATTAATCCACGTATGTTTATATTCTTTGATTCCTTTCATTTCTTATGTTGTATTTTCTTTTTGGGTTTCATGAAGAGTTATGCTGAGGCATGATGTGATTATTACTTCATTTTATGGTTTGATTTAATTATTCATTTGGTGTCCATACAAATTTTATCATTTAGTCTATATATTTGAAAATTCTTCATTTTCGTTTTTATATAAATAAGAATTAAGGACAATCGTTCATTTAAGAATTTAGGAGAGTTGTACCTTGTTATTTCAAGGGCTACTTCATGTACTGGTTTGAAGATACTACAGAGGATAAAAGACAAGTATCCGATGTCACTTCAAAGTGTTCTTTAAAGAAGTTTTCGGAATTTGAGATAGAAAAGTCATACTTAATATATTATATATCTTACATAATTTTAATTTGTTTTATTGTCATACTTATAATTATTTAGCATTTGATTTTATATTTCCAGTGATATTATGAAATGAATGCATCAATATAAGATGATTTTAATCCTATTGTTTTTACTCTAATCGTAGAAGTGGTGTACAACATATCACATCTACAAATGAATGCATCGACTCAATTTTTGAATTTTTTTGGTTAAATAATTAATTATGAAGATGTTTTAATATGATAGTAAATTTGAATGATGTATTTATCTTAAAATGTTGGTTTATAATAAATAGTTATTCAGAAAAAATATGAGAAGATTTTTTTTTTTTTTTTTAATTCAAGATGTATAATCATCTACTAAAAAAGAGACCAAAAAGGTAAAAAAAAAAAAAAATATTGTATTCTATTTATTTCATATTAATATAAAAAAAAATACTAGTAAAGGGATTGGATGGAATTTGAAGTAGCGGAAAGGACAAGTATATGGGCCGATGAAGTCCAATACAAAACCGAAGGGGCAATAAGTTTGTTAGAAAATATAAACAAAAAACGACGTAGTTTGATGGAAGCCCGCGTTGGCGAAAATTTCAAATTAGCAGAGACGAAGGAAGAAAAGGTTGCAGAGAAGAAGAACATGGGTTTGGGTTGTGAGGTTGAAGACCATCTTCATCGCCTTCGCTCCGATCTTTCTTCTCTTCTCCATCAGGTGCGTTCTCTCACTTTTCCTTTCTTTCAATTCAACCCTTTCGCAAATGCAAAATGCAAAATGCTTTCTTTCTCCACTCCGTTGAATAAGAGTGAACCAATGCAACCATTGATTATTACCCTTTAACCTAACGCCCAATTTTACGGAAGAGATTGAATCAAATGATTCGCAGATTGACGAGCTTGTCGTGCAAGCCATTGAAGTGAACAAGAAGAAGAGAGTAAGCAAAGAGGGCAAATCAAAAATCGAGTCTTTCTCCCGTGTCCTTTCTGACATGCTCTCTTCTCTGAAGGTCAAACCCTAAAAACCCTACTTTTTTCTTTCTTCAGATGTTATTATCGTTTTTCACTTATTTGCTTTGTTACAATTGCAGCCATGGGTACCCAAATTTCAAAATGCACTTCAGCCTGAGGAAGCAGACACAGTTTCTGAGGATGAAATCAGAGAGTGTGACAGTCCTGAAGAGACAACCTTAAACTTGGTGTCTCCTTCGCCCCTTGTTTCATGGCGTGCCAATTGTACTGTCGAGAGAGGTAGACAAATGTTCATGCTAACACCTCTTCCATTATCATCCAAACACCACCAAAAACAACCACTTTTCCCTCCTCCCTCCACATCAACCAATAGTGTTGTAGTGAAACCAACCCCAATTAAGCAAATGCCAAGCAATCAAGATGGATCCATCCTTGTTATGATGACTCCTTGCTTGAAAATGTCGCCTCCTAAATCCTGCATTTTGCTTGAACCCATATCCGAAATGCATCATTTGGGTGATAACAAGGTTCGCAAGGCCACTCCCTATCCTGTTGGGGTTCATTTCAGTGATTCTGAGGATTCTGAGTCTCCTGGTGGTGATGGTTTGGCATTGATGTATCCGGAGCTCCTTGGTATAAACGGTGTTTCAAAGGTGGGAATTGGAAAGAAAACAGTGGAGGCCTCGCCGGATTGGTTTACCTCGCCTCCTAAAACTTGCGTTTTGCTGGAGCCACCTGATGAAAAGTTTGATGGTCACTCACGTGTACAGATAACTGGCAACATTCTTAATGAACAAGTTAGCAAGGTTAAGGATGATGATGATGATGTTTCCAAGGATCATAATCAAGCCAAAAAAATGTGTAAGCAAGGTAATGATAATTGTAATTGCTTAGGTTCTGTGTGGATAAATTTCTCAATAAGCAAAATCAATTTATGCAGTTTAGTTTTTGAGGAATCTAAACGAAGGAGCTTTTATAAAAGTTGAGTTGCACTGGTTAATTTTAACTTGCAAGAGGAGGTTGATGCATTTTACTTTCTTATTTTCTTCTTCTATTTAAGTGTTTATTGACGAGTTTATTCAAACATGACCTTAGTCTATTATTGCAATTGTTGGGTTAACTTGTGTCGCATGCATGAAAATAGCTGATATTTTTCTGCCCTGTGCAGATCATTTCGTTGGCAACTTATCACATATAGAGAGCACTCCCATGCCTGAAAGCTCGTTTCGAACAGGGAAAGGTCCTGGTGAAAATACTTTGAAGAAGGAGTTATGGACAAAGTTTGAGGCAGCATCCAGTTGGGGGTGTCAACCCAAGTTGCACACCGTTCAAAAAAATACTCAGAAAGGGTTTCTTGACCTGCTGGAAGAAGCTTCCTGTGATGAATAAATTAAAGATATGAAATTGCCAAGAAATAATCTCTCATTGGAAAATTTTGAAGTGTAAATGCTGGTTTATGTTGTAAGATTTGTAGCTAGCAAAGAGGCCTGGTGTATTCCATTGGTGTTAAATGTGCATTTTGTTATTGTCTCTCATGTTACTTCTCTACATCACTCTTCTCAGCCGTTTTATTTGGTATTAATACCACATGATGCGATAGGAATCAGGATCGGGAATTGGTCAATCTAGTAGTTTGGAAGAACTATAAAATCAAAGTGCTAAAAAATAGGTCAGAAACTGGACCAACGGGTTCAAAATCAGTTAAGAATCAGTTTAAAAAATTGGGTTAAACCGGTTCTTTTCTTTAAAAAATGTATATTTTATTTTTCTAAAATTATTTAAAACATTTTATGATAAATAAATAAATATATTAATAAAAATTATAAATTTGAATCAATTATGTTATTTACTATTTTTTTTTATAAAAGATACAATTTAGTTATTTATATTAATTTATAACATTTTATATTATGTTTTGAGATTTTTCTACTCTACATGTAATATATATATAATGATATTCAAAGA